CGCGGACAGGCGTCAGGGGTCTTGGGCCACGGGGGCGCAGGGGGTCTCGGGGCTCATGCCCCAGGGGGTGGGTGGGCAGAAGGGGCGGAGCCAAGGTGGGACTCCACCCGCCACCCATGTATAGAATTATGATATTCTGCTATAGGGTTGTTATTGAAATATGCTGTGTGTCCAGGAGATGCCCACAGCTAGCTCCCCAGTGGCAACAAGGAAGATGACCCACACCCAAACAGGCATTAAGCAACCATCACGAGCCATTGACCAGCAGGGGAATTGTAAACAGAAGATTTACAATTCTGTAAGAGACAGTTGCTCAGGCACCACACATTGGGGATTGCTCAACTCTGTGACTCAGCAAGGCCCCCCATGACATGTCTGGGCCAGTATCTTCCTTGGGATATGAATTGAGAGTATAACACAAGGGACAGTGGCATCATGAGACCACCTCTCTCCTCCCCCACCTATGTTGAAGGCAACAAGAACGCTAGGAAGACAAAGACTTTGAACTGGGGAGACTGCTCCCAGGCTGAGAAGGGAATTCAGCTTGTGTATTAAGAACTGTAAATTACTTGCAACATCCAGTGGGGTGAGAAAAGCTGTTTGATGGAAATCTTGCTTAGTCTGAAAGTTTAGGATTTAGAATGTGTGTTTACTTTTTATTTTCTTAGCTAACTATCTCTGACCTTTATGCCTACCACTTATAATCACTTAAAATCTCTTACTGTAGTTAATAAACTTATTTCAAAGACAGCAGTCCCACAATTCCAAGTTTTACTCCAGCAGTCCCATCACAGGCAGCTAATAACCTGAAAGTGCAAAGGAATTATTTACAATGTAAAATAATAAGGTTGCATCATAATTATTCGAGGACTATATCCTGACAGGAATATCTAGATCAGACATCGGGGGAAACAAATTCATAGATTTAAAGGCCAGAAGTGACCATTCTGAGGATCACCTAGACTGACTTCCTGCATAACCCATGCCATAGAAACCCATCCAGGAATTCCAGCATCTGGCCCAACACATGGTGGTTGAATTAGAATATATCTGTCTAATCCAACTCTAAGGTATGTAATAGTCAGGCTTATTAGATAATGAAATAATTTGCCGTAAAGGATCATTGAGACACCATTGCTAAAGATGTTCAAAAGCCAGTGAGATAAAACAATTAGGATTCTATTCTCTTTTCAGATCCATGTACGCAGCTCCCATTGACTTCAGTGTAGCTAGACATGTGAATCCAAAGGCAGAAGGTATAGCCCTTGGAACACCACTACCATGCAAGACAAACCTGCAGTACGGTAAAGTAGTGATCCAGGCAATTTCTAATCCTAATCTAACCCCAACCCTTTGATCATGCTGGGCATAGAATTCCTATTGAACTCAAAAGGAACTGACTCCATAGGAGTCACTCCAGATTTACATCAGATTACCTAGGGAGGTGGTGGTACCTTGGGAGGTGGTGGAATCTCCTTCCTTAGAGGTTTTTAAGGTCAGGCTGGACAAAGCCCTGGCTGGGATGATTTAGTTGGGGATTGGTCCTGCTTTGAGCAGGGGGTTGGACTAGATGACCTCCTGAGGTCCCTTCCAACCCTGATATTCTATGATTCAGTATAATTTACAGCAAGATTTGCCCCCAAAACACAGAACACACCCAGATTGGGAAATCCCAAAATAATGTTTTCTTAAAAAAAAAAAATAATAATAAAAATAAAACCCCTCAGCAGCAGAGAGTTCTAGATAAATCTGTGAAAGTTCACATGCCATAAATAGCTCCATATTGTTTGAAAAGTGTAATGCCAAAAAGCAGCGTCGTTCTTCAGAATAAAAAATAGCAGCGGCAATGAAAAGTAATTTGCCAAGAAAAAATGGAATAGGAGTGGATTCAGGCTGGTGTATCTCAGGGGCCCCTGGTATGTACATGGAGTGTGTTAAAAATGGGATCTATAATGTTGCATTGTTACTTTCACTAAATATTGGGAGCACTGTTACAGTATTTAAGACACATCAAAAGCCACTGAAACAGCAGGATATGTTAATTATCATTAGTTACTATTTGTACAGCCCCTAAAAATGTGCTAGCTGCTCAATTGGATGAAATATGTTTATTATATCTTAAAGTAGGCTTGCTGATTATTCTGAAGTGACACAAGGCTAAAGGAGATTGAGTGTATGTTAATATAATGCCACTTAAACACCTCCCTGATGAATTCATTCCTTTGGCAGATTTGCACTTCATATTATAATAATGAACTCTGACAGGATGTTTGTCAGACAGCCCTGAAAATGTGTATTTGATTCCTTGGATATGTACTTTACAACCTACTTGGGATTTTTCTTTTATTACTTTGAGTGATTCTATTGATCTTCTCCACCTGGAGATGACTGTGGGTGAATTAACCTTGACTCTGTTAATCTGAAGCTGGCATTCAGAGAAGCTAGCACCTTCCTAAATTCAATTATGGGGAGGCGCTTTTCAGTTTTTTGTCTATGTGTTTCTCTGGGGGGTAGGAGGGGTTGATTTTTCAATCAGTCTCACCAATCCCATCCTAAAGTCCCATTCAAAAGAGAGCACCCTTGTTATTGGGATGGGTTAGTTAATAGTTACACTGTTTCCACCACTCAGGAAGGCTAATTTTGAGCTAAAATTTACCCTCTCCAAATCTGTACTCTGTGTTTAATTTGAAGCGAAGGCCCTGTCCAACCTTAGCTACAGTTGCTCTGGGAAACAATTCTCCAGAATGAGCCTGTAAGAGAGACTCCTTTCTGAACACAGCTGAAACGAATGCATTTCAAACATGATGTTCACCACCATGTAGCACATTTTTTCCTAATGGAGGCCCTGATCCTCAAATGGGAGCTACACGGAGAGTCAGTGGGGCTCCACCCCCACAGACTTTATTGCAGGTTCAGGGCCATGGTTTTGTAATTGTAATGAATGTGGAGGTCAAATGCTTTTAGACATATCTGCAAACCAAAGGCCCAAGAGTTTCACATACCCTAGATTTAAAATAAGAGTTTTGTTGTCCAATTCATTGTTTTTTAATCAATTTCCTCAGGCACAGTGGGCCAAATTTTGCATCTCCTTAATCTAGGAAAGTGAAGTCAGGGTGAAATCAGGGTGCATGGAACTCAAGTAGAAATAAATACCTGTTTAATAGATATGAATTTTTGTTTTCAGCCCATTTGGAGGACTGAGTCTCTCCATGTCAGCAAACTGATATAGGGCAATATCTTGCGCATATATACAACGCTGACCTCACTTCCACTTCATTACTTCCTCACACTCCCATCTTCATGCCACACACTAACCCTTACATATATAAAATCTCCTTTCATCCAAGCATCTCAAAGCATTTTACAATAATAAATTAAGCCTCACATCCCTCCTCTGGAATGACTTCTTATCCCCATTTTACAGATAGGATAACTGAGGCACAGAGCAGTTTAGTGACTTGACCAACGTCAGTGGCAGCTATAAAAACTTGGGACTCCTGACTCCCAGTCTCTTGCTCTAATCAGTAGGCCACACTCCTTCAATATGATCGGTTTTTAATAAAAACATTTAAAGAGAACATTTCAATAAGATGAAACACAGAGGTTGCACTTGCGGCTTGTGCTTTGCCTTTGGGCAGCACATAAGTGTTGTGGGAGAGACAGAACAATCCCACACCGATATATCTGGATGGCCTTCAGTAGAATAGGGTTCTCCACCAAGGACATATCAAAGCCTTGGCAAAAAGAACACTTAGGCCAGATGTCAGGCTCTCTCTCTCTCCCTGCCAGTTCAAATGTCAATCACATGCAAGCTCTTGATTTATCGTGAGTTATGCCACTGCTCTTCAGAGATGAAAGTGAAAATGCATGTGTGAAGCCTTGGATGCCAGCAGCAGAATGCAGGACACATGGCGTTAAGTCTTTCTTAACAATGCTACGCGTGCAGTACAAATGAATGACGACACCATCTGTAACAAGGGTAGAATTTGCACTAGGGATGGGCAAACTTCAACAGGTTCAGCTAAGCCCCACAAACATCTGATCAGAGATGAGCCTGAGCTGCAAAAATTTGGCTCTGGATCCAAACTTTTCCAAAGCTCAGGAGTGTTCAGGCCTCGGGCTATGGTTTGACTTTATACAGAGATAGGGGCCAGTAATGAAGTTCAGAGGCACATCCTGATGCAATGCTTGTGGAATCTTAGATCCCTGGTTTGGGTTCAGGTTCATCTGTTGCCAAGATACTTATAGGAACCTTTTGAAGTTCACCCCAGTGCATGAACCTCTTGAACTCACGTAGTCCTCCCTTCCTGTGAACCCAATTGTCATCACCACCAAGCTTCTTGGGTGTTTGGGTCCAGGTTTTGGTTTAAAGTTCTCTTTAGCTAGTACCATAGTAGGAAAGTCATGCAGCATGTCAACTTTTGGAAAAAATCCAGATGTTCTTTCCTTGCACTGCCCTCGAAGATTCTACAGGATACAAACACTGCTGCACTCTTTATATGCCTCAGTCTTCTCCTGTTATTTTTTACCCCTTTGCTCTGTCAACAACGCTGACCTCTCTTCCCCTTCATTTCCTCCTCACATTCCCGTCTTCATGCCACCCACTAACCCTTGCCAACCAAATATCTTCTCCACCTCAACATTAGATGAGAGAGAGACAGAGACAAAGATATCTCCCTAGGATAACAACTTATTTCAGGTTTCCTGGTATAAACTGGTTGGAAGTTTTCAGTCAAAATGTTTTTTCCATGAAAAATGACATTTTCATCTCAATCGACATGTTTAGAAAAACGTGTTGACTTTGAAGAAATTTCATTTTGAGAAAATGAAATGAAGCTTTTAAAAAATGTCAAAACATCCTATTTTGGAACAGACCGTTTCAACTTTTTCTTTTGAAATGACTTTTTGAAACAACATTTCTTGTTTTTTCTATTTAAAAATCATTTAAAAAAAGTTTTAAAGAGTCACAATTGGAACAAAGGGTTTTATTCTGAGCTAAATGAAATGGTTCAATCGACATGAAACAAAAATTTATCAGAACTTGATTTCACAGGTAATATTGAATTTTTTTGGTTGTGTGCTCTTTTGGAAGTGGGGGAAAAAAAATCAGAATAGCAGATTTTCCCATGAAACAGAAAATCTGGTTCCCACCCAGTTCTATCCAATATGTATTGTCTTATCTGTTTTTCCCTTTCAAACTGTAACCACCCTGGAATTTGATTTGTCCAGTAGCACTTAACAAATAAAAATAATGATGCTAACTACACAGAGTTTACTTGGAAAATAAGCACCATAAAACCACATGTGTCTGCATGTCTCTATACATTTTTTTTATTCTAAAAATTTATGCTAACACTGATTTGGGAGACAGAAATAACCATGTTTCCCTGTCATTGCTTGAGGTAGCATGTAATTACGGTTCCACTATATGGTTACTTAGCACGTAATTAAATCACAAATAGCTACCACGTTATTATGCTTGCAAGCAAATAGTATTTATGCTGTGAAATCTAAAGCAATACCAATAATTTCTGTTCAAGAATGGATAATTTAATACAGACATCATTAAATCCACTGAAGAGTAATATAGGGGAAAATTGCTTTAATGATACTGGAACAGGAGACAACCTGAACAATCAATTCTCTCTAGCTTTCTTTACCACCTCCATTTGCTTGTACTCATAACTTCCTAGATAGATGGAGAGAAATGGCTTGATGTGTGTATAACAGAAAAGAGGAACATAAGAAATCTGTGATATTCAGTAACCTGAGAAACCATAGGAGCCAGTTCTACACTTGGAGCCACAAAATCTCTTGAGGCACCCCTGCAAAGTTTGGATCAAGTTGAAGGACGGAGGGGCTTACTCACCAAATTTCTGTTCCTGCTGCTGGCTGGTGCAGATGTGGGAACGCCTGCAGGCACCGTTGCTCAGGTTATTTTCCACACGATCAACACCTTTAAGGGTGCTAATTTGGCCCTATGTGTAAAATAGATCAATCACTATCTCATCAGCATGATCTTTGCCTCCCTCCCGTCCCTTTTACCCAATATTTTTGCAGCACTTTACAAGTGCCAACTACTTATGCTGCACAACGTGCCTGAGAGGTAAACAAGAAGCATAACAGGGAGAACCTCATGCACCACAAAAACTACACATCAGTCTATGACAAGGGCGGCCAAACTTATTGGCCGTCCAAGATGCATATGATAATCTTCAGAAGTTAGAGAGACGGCCCCACCTGCTGGGGCTCGGGGCTTCAGTCCTGAGGGGGTCTCAGAGCTTCTGCCCCATGGAAGGCACCCAAGATTCCCCTCCCCTCAGGGCAGAAGCCCCTAACCCCACCACCCTGCCACAGGACAGAAGCCCTGAGCTCCACCCCTCCCACAGTCTGGTAGGCAGAGAATGGGAGGGTGGGGGGCTCTGCGAGCCGCACTTTAACTGTAAAAGAGCCGCATGTAGCTCATGAGCCACAGTTTGGCCACCCCTGATCTATGGCCTTAGCCATAGGCGCCGACTCCGTGGGTGCTCCGGGGCTGGAGCACCCATGGGGAAAAATTAGTGGGTGCTCTGCACCCACCGGCAGCCAAGCTCCCCCCTCCTCACCTCCTTCTCCCCCCCCGTGTGCTGCGTACCCACTCCTCCCCCTCCCTCCCTCCCAACGCTTCCTGCCCCCTGCCGCCTAACAGCTGTTTGGCAGCGCTTAGGACTTTCCAGGAGAGAGGGGGAGGAGCAGGGACGTGGCACACTCAGGGGAGGAGGTGGAGAAGAGGCAGGGCAGGGACGGGGACTTGGTGGAATGGGGGCGGGAAGGGGGCAGGGCAGGGGTAGGAAAAGGCGGGGTGGGGCGGGGACTTTGGGGAAGGGGTAGAATGGGGTTGGGGCGAGGGCGCGGCAGGGTTGGGAAGAGGCGGAGCAGGGGTCGAGCACCCACTAGGCAGAGGGGAAGTCGGTGCCCATGGCCTTAGCCTAGGTTTACATAAAGATAGGAAGGCTAATCTAGTGCAGAGGTTCCCAGACTTCATTTGCTGTCCCTCCCCTTTGGCGATTCATGTCCCAGGTGCACCCCACCTCTAGAAACAGTATTTCCACGGGTGCCTGGGGACCAGGAGCCCACCGTGGCCCATGTGTCCTGCTGCTTCTCAGCCCATTCTCTACGCAGGACACGCTCCCCAGCAGAACACAGCCAGCCAGGCTGCACCCCTCTCCTTGGGCCCCCACCCCTGGGTCTCTCCCAGAATCACTCCCGGGCTGCAGGCTCCTCTGGTGCAATCCCCAGCATGCATGTGCAAAAGCCTGTGCAGGCAGGTAGGAACTACCTCCCAAGGGGGTACATCCGTCTCTGGAGAGAGGAGTGAGCTGGAATGGGGCCCCCCACTTCCTGTGCAGGAAGAGCTCATGTCTCCTCCCTTCTCATACCTCCCTCCTCCTTGTTCTTCCAGGCCCCCTGATGCCCTAGCGGTGCCCACCAGCAGGGAGGGCACAGCCCAGTTTGAAAACCAGTGGTCTAGTAGATAGAGCATTGGTCTGGCATTCAGAAGACCTGGATTCTATTCCTTTGTGACGTTGGGAAGTTGTTTATTCTGTCCTTTGCCTCAGTTCCCCATCTGTAAAATGGGGATAGCAGCACGGCCCTATGTTCAAGAGGCATTGTGATGATTAAAAACACATTAATCATTGTGAGGCACTAAGATACCACAGCGATTAGAGTGGTACACGTAGACAGATGGTATAATGCACTCGTGCACAGTGGTACAATTAAGGGTGCTTGGGCCTCATTCACTCACTTCAGTGGAGTTACACTGGCGGATTGACTCTGCCTTCTGACAGCTGAGGCTTTAGGACAGCTCCTTAATATTAAAGCAATGAGGATAAAATCATACTCAGTAACAAAAACTAAGAGTCCACAGAAGTCACGCAAATACCGGCAGAAATTCTCAAAAGCTCACAGGAAGACCCAAGAATGTAAACTAGCTGTGCACCTGGGACGCCCCCATGCTAAGAAGAAAAGCACTGCCAGCAAACCACAGGTGTGCACCTCACGAGCAGGGGGAAAACGTGATTGTAAGTGAGTGATGACAGCTCCGGGTCCCTAATACATTAGTTCCAGGGGTCTATTGTGCATTTGTTCTAGGGTTAGGTATTTTCTTTTTAGCTTGGGAAATAATTAAGCAGGTGTGGATCTAAATCTTAAACACGCTGCCAAAATCAGCCTGGTGTAAGCGGGTGCAATGCTACGGAAATCATACAGGCACATGCATGGTCACATGTTGCCCGGCTCACACATACCACCACATTGATGTACACACAGACAGACAGACACAGAAAGAAACCTATGTTCACACACAAGCACACACGGGGGGGGAAAAAGACACCCGCTGAGAAAGAGATGGGCATACACACCACACAGATACACACCACTAAAGCTGCTGTGAGTTCACTGGCACTCTGGCTTTCACTTGAGAATCAGAATACACCCTTTTTTGGGGGGGGAGGGCTTATGAAAATACTTGTAATTTAACACTGTTTTTAGCAAGCGCTAACACATCCACTCTTATTTGTTGAGATTTACTTAATGTGCCGCTTGTACAACATTTGCAAATAATAGCAGTGTTCACAGAGTGGTTACATTGTGCCATCTCCTGGTTATAGGCTGTGGACTCCTTATCTAGCTACAGTACTTCACAGGATTGCTTATATAAATTCATATATCAGCTTGCAGTACATGATGAGTGTCATCTCCCGAGCTTTTGAGGAGTAAGAGCTGGGAATCGGAAACTGAACAGTCCTGGCAGCTACGAGATGTCATTCCCTAAAACATGCACCACAGCTAGAGGTAAACCATTTGTTAGGAGTCACTGGGAGCTGCCATATTGGATCAGACCATCAGTCCATCAAGTCTGCTATCTTAGCAGAAACCAATACCTGATGCTTCAGAGAGACACCCAAGAGATCCTCCGTAATACAGCTAGACAGCCATGGAGCTATGTACAAAATGAGAATGACAAGACAACTCACAGGACAGTGAAAACTACTAAGGAATTGCACTTAGTAGGATCCATGTAGATAAGGAATTTACATTCTTCTCATTTGAATAGAGATCATAACCACCTCACCATAAATACAGCTGGGCACATGTTTAAAACTGTATCCTAATTCCTGAGTCCAAATATGCATGTGGACTATGTACACAAGAAAGCACATGTTCAAAACCCACATTTTCCTGCACAAAACAGATAATACAAGTGCAAATAGGTACCTGCCTACCTGTGTAAACAACTTTAGATAAAGTAGTAACTGGATTGAACATAAAGGAACAAGTTTGACCCATGCCATTAACTGCACCTGCTCACACTTTTTCACTAGCACAACTTAAGACCTATGACTTTAAACATTGTCCCTGAAAGGGGAATGGTTTGCATCACCGTGACACAGGGCCCAGTTCTGGTTTCCCTTATACCAGCGTCATTCTGTCAGTGAGTGTTACAAGGGTAACTTTATTAATGTAGGTGCTCTTATAGTCTGGTGATGGGTGAAGAACCTAGCCAGATATAGATAGGTGGGTGGGTGAGATTAAATAAACACAGATTCAGTGGAGACAGTTATGAATGACACCGGTGTGAGTCACATTAGAAGCAAGCCCACAGGGATGACCATTAAGAAGTCAACGTTTTCCCACAATTGCCATAGGAAAGTATTGGAACTGCTGCAACTATCTCCTTTTCCAAGAGGAAAATACAAGCAGTATCTCAGACACGACTGAATGGTGGCTATTTAAAGGTAACGGCTGGAATGTTTTTTAATTTGTTGTCTGCAATGAACTTTGCAAATTTGTTACTAATATTTGGTCCTGGAATTTTTTTTATAGTGCTCTGAAGTTTTGAGCAAACATATAAAATAGTCAGATGTTGCCCACAGTTACCACCCAATGCTGCAATGTAATTTTACTCCTAGCCTAAGTAAAGGGTTACACATATAGGATATTGTACAAGACAGAAGACACAGTCCTACTCCAAGCAATTAACAATCGAAATACATTTTCTAACATATTAAGTACTTCCTTGTGTGTCTCTTTCACTGGCAGGTAGGTAGGGTGTGGGTGGGTGTGCCTCCAATTCTAAAGGAATTTCCTGGACCTAACTACTCCCTGGTACAGCAAATGATATTTTATGATCCTGTTATTCCACCAAGCCCATTACACGTTATATCTTCAGTGTGTGAAATCTCTATACAGTATATGGAAAGCAGGGGTAACATTATTCTGAGATTACAAGAGAATCATAGACAGTGTAAAAAGGGCATTTTGGACATTGAATGGGACACTTTGGCCAAGACGTGCCAACCTGGGTGCCTAAAGTTAGATTCCTAAACTCTTACTTAAGCACCCAAATAAATAGCTAGGTGTTCATGAGTGCTGAGTGCTTGGTTTGCGTTTTGCAAGATTACATGGTACATAATTCCCTCTAGCATTATATCTAACTTGTGTATGAATATCTGAAGTAACAGTGTCCTCACTGGCAGACCATTCCACCCCTCCATAGCTTGACAGAACAACTAAGACCCTTGACCATCCAAAGTCTTTGTCTTCCTTAGCTTATGGCCATTGTTCCTAGTCCTGCCATCTTCTGAGGCTGACTAATTCCCTTCCTTATTTGCATTATTGATTATATTTATATGTGTGACATGTCCCTCTCAAACCTTCCCTTTTCTAGATGTAAATATAGCAGTCTTCACCACTCCTCATGTATCAGCCTCCAACCCTTCACCATTTTCCCTATCATCTTTGTATTCCATCTAGATTTACAATATATTTTCTAAACCGTATGAACCAAACCTGGCCAAAATATTCCAAGTGGGGTCTCTCCAGGGCTACGTGAAGTTATGGTGCTATTCATGCCTTAACTTCACATGGGAACCTCTCTGGAGACAGCCCAGAATAGCCCAGAATAGCACAGGTTTTTATTTTTGACAGTGTCACA